ATTTTGGGTTATGTTATGATCCTTATAATGTAACCTGTGCACTGATAGAGAGCATAACGTGCTAGTGGACAGCGGGCGTAGGGGGATAGAGGAGCGCGGGATGCAGTGCCCTCTGTAGCACCACAATTTTTAATCGATGGAAAAAATAGAACAATTCAGTTTTCCAATAGGTACGTACTTATACATATTTTTGTCCACGAGTCAAAACTAATAAAGAATAGTATAAATAAAGTTCCGTCATTAAAATTGTTTATACATCTTTATTATTATTCAGATAAGGATTTTTTTTAGTTTGAAGAGGTCATCAGTGAAGAGCAGATTACGCGTCAGGGCAGAGCGTGCGTGCGCAGCGGGCACGGCGGCACGCCGGCACGCCGGCACGCAGGCACGGCGCTAACAATAATTGCCATCACATTTAATAAATTAAAGTAATTTCTTGCTTTTAACTGATTTCGACGTTATTCTGCAATAAGGCGACTCGGTTTTCTCATCAGATATCTAAGGCTTACTGATGATTCGTGACCAGAGCGAAGTGTAAGCGCTGATCTGACGCGTCTTTTGCTAAATCAAACGTATCCTTCCTTACGATTACTACTTAATCTTATCCAAATTCAATGTAAGTAGAATAGACGAAAGCCATTTCACCCGTGATATCGAGCCGTAGTATAACGAATGCAACTCCTCCGTCCCGTCACGACGTCGCACTTTGTCCCCGCAGCCCCGCAGCTTCGCACTGGCCCTTTGCACCGTGTAACGGACGTTGTGAACAGTACATACATAAGAAATAAAAAAAAGGTTTTCACAAAAAGCAATTTCAAATCACTAAAATAACTTTTGTCTGTTATTTCTGTGATAACGCCTTTAATAATTTATGATGTATTTTATCACTGTGAGAGTGAGGCGCGGGGCGCGGGGCGTGGGGCGCGGGGCGCGGGTCGGGACTGCGGTTTAGTTACAAGTTTCACTACAGGTACCACGATTTGTTAACACTTTAGAAGCGACATAATTTTGATATCGTTGGCTCATTACAATCGAATCGAAGTCTCGAAGCTCAAGTCGAATCGTTTAAAGCTACGTAAACATACACGTTCTCGAATATTCTCTGATGAGTGTGCGTCTCGGAGACCTAGTTTTATAACTCTTTTCCTTCTCATCTGTTTCTTATAAGAAAAGAGCTGCAGAATATTTAATGGATGCATAGAAAGCGGAAATATTAACTTCTGTGCGGCTCCTCCTCCGTCGATTAAAGGTAGTATTTACAATTGCATCTCCAAATGCGGATGTCGCTATGTCTGCGAATTTATGTGACCGCTTAGTCGTTGGTCACTTTATAATTTAAAAAAAGTGTAAGATGTAGTAGATACCCGATCGGCGCGGCGATAGAAAAGTGCAGCAATCAAAAGTTGGCAATTATCGATAGATTGCCTTCTTGTGCTGTCAGTCGCTATTTGACTGCGCGAGTACGCGTACGTCCCTTACAAAACGACAACAATATCAGTAATGCGTTGTTTCACAAGAGATGGCATGCATTCTCAAAACGACTAACGTTCTCGTTGTAAATTGCTTTATATCCATAATTTAAACTTAACTTGACAAAATGGAGACTAAATGTGTTAAGAGCAAAACTGTAACAAATGATTTACGACCCTAGTGCATTGTCATAAGGTATATATTTTTAAATGGCCTTATATTGAATAAGGACTGTTTTGAAATGGCACAACATGTGACGTCAGTGCCACATTTTACAATTGATTTTGTATGAATGTATTATTATATCGAATATTTGATGAACATATTTTGCGATAAAAATTATTTTATAATATGATTTGAACAAAGTGACCACAACAAAAGTAATGTAATAAAATGTCTCGGACCGTGTGTACACAGTCGTAGCGTTACTTCTCATTAGCCAGCCTAACGACCTCATCTATTAACTCATGTATTTATTATTTAACACTTGTTTGTATACCTAATGTTAAACAGAATGTAAATACTAAAATAATAGTTTTTAATCACCCTTATGCCTGCACATCGACATTTATGTGTGTTGTGCTTATTTTTTTATACGGGAGTGAATGTGTTGGGCAGTCAGAGATGGGAGCTACATGTCCGGCTTGTATAACAACGTAGGCACATAATTGCAAATGCCAAAGCTAAAGTCACGCTATCACCTCTCTAATCTGTGTGATAAGTGATTACTTTCACTGATCACACAAGTGACGTATCTTCGATTCAAACATATTATTATGTCAGTTTTTAAGATTCTTATTAAGTTTTTAAGAAGAAAAACTATGCTCCGTTGAAATATTTACAGCCGTGCTAATCAAATCTTATCCCTCAAACAAGCAAAACCCTTCCGTCTATAGCTCCATTGCTCTATTGTAATACTGTTGTTGTTGACACTGGAGAGTGGGAACAAACATATGGGTAGAACATATTGGAATGGTTACATCAAATTCTCAATTTATGACTCCTTCTTTACCTATATCGGATTCCCAGGCGCATATTCTTTGCGAACTATATTTTAAGTTCGAGATCTTTGCATCTGTAGTAGGTATAGTTCATTTATATTGTCAAAGACAAGACCGTAATACATGCTTCAGCAATTTATTGTTCCTCCTTTACCCCCAAATTCAGTTGTCGTCCTAAGGTTATAGTTATTGGCAAATTAGCTGCAGCATGCAGTCGTAGGACAGATCGACCACCAGGACACCGCCACCACACTGCGACTCTCAGCAGCGGCGAGCGATCATTTTAATCAGCGATATAGCAATATATAACTTAACGTATTCTGATTTACTCGTTATAATTGAATGGAGCATGCGTTCGTAGCGCTGAGCGCAGAGCAGCACGCCTGCCTGCGGGGCGGCGGGGCGGCGGGCGGCGGGCTGCGGGCGGCGGGGCGGCGGGCTGCGCGTTGATAACGCATGACCTCCGCTCCGCGCTTCGAAATATTAATATCTTATTTATTTAACCGTTCTCTGTCCGCCACCCGCGCCCCCCCCTCGCGCCCCCCTACGGCCCGTCCTCGCCGCAGTCAGCCCAACTTACTAGCGGACTGTTTATCGATGAAATGGAAATGTTATTGTTTGATGTTTGCAACGTGGTTTGACCGAGTCGGCTTGCGGTGAGGGCGACACAGGCGAGCGGGGAGCGGGGAGCGGAGCGCACAGGCGTTCACGCTTCGATTAATTAGCTCGTTACTGGTTACAGTTTTACTTCGGCTGACTTTGTATGTTGCTCATACACTCACACATATGTAGATGCCAAATCCCTACTCAGAATCTATATAACGAGAGTAGTAGAAAGTAAGAAGTATATTTTGAGTCTGAAAAATAGGACTTTTATCAATTTTTATGAAGCGTCGAAACAGCTAATGGGATACTACGATATCTTATATGGAAAAGGCAATGCCACGTTGCGAGGCGTAAGGTCGTGCACCGCGCTGACAACGCACGAACACCGCGCCGACACCGCGCTGACACGGCGCTGGCACCGCGCAAGCACCGTGGCGCTGCCCGACGAGCGCGGGCGGCAGCGTGATCGGCGGGAGCTCACCGAATCTGAGGTTCACATTCCCGGAACACGAGTCATTAGCTATTTCCGAGGCTCGTCAATCGCCGCTACAATAGCCACAATCTTTTGCACTAGCTTTCTAGATAAAGGTTCGCCCAGGTGAGTAATGCATTGTACGCGGGTAACAGGCGCGGGCGCGGGGCGCAGCAGGTACGCGTGACGTCACGCACTGCCACTCATCGCTTTGGCAATTAACGAATTCGCCTATTAACGGCTGCTTGGAACGCAAGAAGTTAGCGGGAAACAGGCTCGTGTAAAGAACATGTCGTACTCTTGTGTACAACGTACAGAAGTCTATTCCTGTTCCTCTTCCTACCTGCTTCCAGTGATAAACGTATACAAGGATTTAATGGAGCAGGGGATGGATGGAAATGGTCTTTTTTCTGTTCTCTCTGTTGTAAAGCTCGTTGCAGATGCCAATGGGTAGCGGTGACTTCGTTATTTTAACGACATCAGTAACCAAGTAGCCGCTTGCACGAATACCACCGAGAGGAAAAAAAGCGGATCACAAAAACTATCCCGATGGTCGTTTGTTCTTGCGATGACAAAAGTTGGGAAATGTTTTGACTCCACTAATCCAAACATACAAACGGATTAGGAAACACATGTCGGTGTTGTGACTCCGAGGCGAGTGGTGAGACGGCGGAGAGACAGCGGGGCGGCGACCGGGCTGCCTAACTCTGCGCCAGGGACGTCGTGCCGTGCGCGCCACGGGGCGCCGCCGCATCTCCGCTAATGCGATAAAATTTATAGGTTCTGGGGAACGTGGCAGCCGGCATGTGCCGACGTGCGACTCGACATCTTTATGCGCTCTTCACGGAAAACTTGTAAAATAACAATCGCGAGGTCGCGCTTTCGCGCCCGCTGAGCTGTAGCCGAAACTCCCGCCTCTCTGCACTCTGACCTCGACGACAGATTACATTTTTAATACATATCTAAAAGTTATTAATGTTCGAGCGCTTTTTTGTCACTAAATAAAAACTTTTCTTTATTACCGAGGAGCTCGTCATTTACTCGTGCTAGAGATTTAAAATAATTTTTATTTATATACGCATTTCATCTTACGCTTATCTTCGAGCATGTGCCATATAGACAAAAGATTTATTGGCCATATTTCATTTTCATCCAAGGATGTTCGCTTTATACATATGCATAACGTATTTATAAGATCGATCCGAGCCGGCCATAGGTGCAACGGCGGGCGGCGGGTGGCGGGCGGCGGGCGGCGGGCGAGAGCCGGACAAGACAAAGGATCGTATGTATAAATGGAGTTATAATGCGATCGCGTCCCCTCGCCCGGACCCGGGAGCCCATTGGTCGCCCGTCGAATAAAACTAGATCGGATGCGGCCGCATCGCGCCCCGCCACCCGCCACCCGCCGCGCCCCTCGACCCGCGCGCAGCGAGCGGCGGGCGCGCTCAGCGCTCAGTCGGCGCGCGCAGCGCCAGTGTACGCACGACCGTCGCGCGAGCAGCACGCCGCACCGCGCGGTACGTAGTGAACCAGTGAGCATGCTGCACGACGCCTGGCCCGGCGCCTGGCACCGCGCCGAAACCATCGAGCTGGACGCGCTCATCGCGGAGGTTAACAACAACTGTATGAAAGGTGAGTACCCGACCGTGGCTGTGCTCGCATCGCGCCACTTCAGACCCCATCATTAAGTGAAGCATCCAATGAATACCTTCGCTCCCCGAATCTAACACGACACGATCGGGTCCACTTCTGGACGTCCACCGTAAAGCAAAGCGGCGACGCTCCGAACGGCACGCGGCGAACACTCGGCGCGCGCAGCGGAGCGGAGCGTCGCCTGCGCGCAGACGGCGGGCGACTGGAGCGGAGAGCCGCGCGCCGCGCCCCGTGCCCCGTTGTACGACCAATGAGCGCGTGTTGCAGAGGGCGAGGCGGAGTGCGGCGACAGCCCGCCCCCGGCTGCCTGCTACCAGGAGCTGCGGCCGGCACACGCGCGCGACATGCAGCCCTACGCGCTGGACGAGCCGCTCTTCAAGGGCGAGTATGCGCGCGCGCGCAGCCCCGAGCGCAGCCCGCCGCGCCTACACTACGAGCCCTACGCACCCCCGCCCGCTTACGGCCACGAACACCACGGCGACGGGTAAGTACTGACCTAGCGACCTGCGCTAACGAGAGAAGGCTGTGTTATCGCAGTCATGCTTAAACTTGACATTTATGATTTGTCTAATATCACTGTTTTATTTTTAAAACGGTAATTTTTAAAAATGACGGTTATGAACAAGTTAGCCGAAATACTAATTCGCCTAACTTGTACACATGACATATGGGCGCGCTTCGACCGGGTTAGGTCTCGTTGTGCACGGAACAAGACGCGATAGCGACAATCTGGTGCTATCAGCTGCGATTGCGTTCATTGAGGCGATAGCAGCGCTCGTAGTACACACCGTGCTACCGCTCCCCACTCCCCGCTCCCGGCTCCCTCCCGCCTTCGGACTGCGGAGATGTCTTCTCGATTTGCTAAATACGTTGCATGAGTATTGGCGCGGTTCTCACGCCGCGGGACTTAGTACTAGTTACTAAAACCTTTTATCTCACTAACATTACAAATGCGATCGTTTAATTGGGTGTATGAATGAATGTTTGTTATTACGAAGGCATGTTCAGAACGGATCTTGCTGAAATTTTTCATTGGTATTAAAATAGTCTGGAAGAATGCATAGGCTACCTTCTAAGATTTTTTAATTCCGCAGCAACGAAGTCGCAGACAAAAGCTAGTATTTATCTTACTTCTTACTAATATAATAAATGCAAATTTTTAGATGGATGGATGGATGTTTGTTTGAAGGGTATCTCCGAAACGGCTGGACGGATCCCACTGAAAGTTGGCATAGATGTAGTACATAATGTGAAAGAACACATCGGCTATTTATTAAGTTTTTTAAACTCCATGCGGACGGAGTCGCGGTCAACTAACTATCAACCGTTCCTGCGAACTACGAAAGGATTAAACTGATCGTGACGACCGACCAATTTTGTCGCTGCGTGTAATTTGGTGAAACTTGATGAAGAGACTTGTAGTTGCTGTTGCTGTTGCGACATGCACTACTAGGTCGCATTGTTAGTACTTCTCTATAAATACCGTAAGTTTGAGTACTGTAAATGTATAAATCAAAATATTCTTAAATACCGAAGTAAAGATTGAGAAAAGCATTGCGTATAATGCGTGTGTAATGTCTGTCGCCAAATGTTGTATGTGTCGCGGATAATTGGGTTTTTCGGTTGCTTAAACAATTATTTATCAGAAATATATACATTGTATGTCACGGAATTATCTTTTCAATATAAAAATATCGTCACAAGTAACGTGTACAATGCAGTCCATTTTAATTGCTGTATCTGAAGGGTGAAGAGGTTACGGTGTGAAAACTACAGCAGAACATTTTATGCCACCACTGACATGTATTATATTTAGCATTTTTTTGGGCATCTACAAAGTACTCACCTTAGTTTGAGCAGTACATTAGAAGCGTAACATAAGTTCAGTGCGAGTTGTCCCTCAGCTGCGGCGTGCTGTTTGCTTGCCATTAGCCGTTAGTAATTAGGCTATTGTTTGCGCATTGTTACTGTACACAACACACAACACGATGTTCCGCGTCGCCCCGAAGCCTGCCTCCACGTTTGCTGTTTTAACAGACGAACGGATAGGTATAGTTCAGTCGGACGCGAAGCCCCGGAACGCCAAATTAGAAGTTTTGACGAACGAATGATGCGCCGCACTTATCAATATATCCTTGTGGCCGGCGCGGCTTAGGCGTGCAGCACACTGTTGCGAAAGCAAACTTAAGCAGTAGCGACCCCGATTTTATATAAACCAGAGACTGACGCGTTCGTTCCAGTGATTCCAGTGACCATTTTTCAAACCAATACGATTCGGGTTTTGTGAGGCCGTGTGTTAACGCGCTCGGCTCTCCTCATCCGAGACTAAGTCCTGTAAAAATATTTTCCGAGTACAACATCGTGGCGAATAAACAATTTATTTATTTATTTATTTATTTACATGGAAAACTTACAGCTATAATAATCTTATTAACTATAGACTAGACAACTGAGAGCCAATGACAAGTCTTCACTTATAACAATATTATATCTATAATGAGCAAACAAACAAGTATCGCTAGTATTAAACTATAGTAATATATAACAATGTAGTTAAAAACTAAAAATAAATAATTTATAAAATACTTGTTAGAAATAAACAAAGATTTTCCCTGTTTGTGCGATCTATCTCTATGCGAGGATGAGCGCTTTATTGTAATGATACATTTATTTAAGCGATGCAAAATGCAATTACAATTTACTACCAGATTCCAATGCCGTAATCTAGCAAAGTGTTTTTCGATTTTCGATGTACAGATGTTCATTTTATCTGACCTTCTTACTCTGAAGAAAAACATCGTGATGCAACCTGCACATGTCATATAACAACCAACACGCACTGCTCCAGCGTGGTCGACTGAGGCCCCTGTCTTAGGGTAGGTTTTGAGCTCCTCGGTGGGGACGTATAATGAGCCGATAATGAAACAAGACAAAGCGCGCGCGACACGTCGGCAGCTACGGGCCTTGGGATTCTGCGTCCATGATATGTTTGGCAAATGCTTACCGTAGGATTCCACTTTGACGATATTTTTATTTATGTCGTCGTCGTTATATATCGTCGTTATAAAGGAAGACAAGGTATTTACATCAACACATTACTTCCAACATATTACTTGGCATTTTAATACAACTTTTGCCTTGTTGAGATAGTAGAGCGTATCACAAGACGCCGCTGCCGCCGTACGTGTCTCCGCCTCTTTATTAATTCTTTAGTTAATTATTTTTGTATTTTTGCTTGATTGTGACCACGTTTTCCGCAATTAATGATTTCGCAAGTTAAAATATTACTTCACTGTATGCATGTATATTGCAATAACACGGCCCGCTGTCCGCTCTCACCTGTCACCTGTTTAGTATCCTCTGCCCGCTGCCCGGTGCCCTATATTCAGTGCCCGCTGCCCGGTGCCCTATGTTCAGTGCCCGCTGCCCGGTGCCCTATGTTCAGTGCCCGCTGCCCGGTGCCCTATGTTCAGTGCCCGCTGCCCGGTGCCCGCTTTCAGCATTCTTGTCACTTTGTATGTACAAGATGTATAATAATAAATTCGCATGTTACCTCCCAATTACAAGAACTTAATTTTCTTTTCGCTGCATACACATGTAATACGAGATAATTAAAAATTATGTTTACTGACTAAACAAATTACATTAAATAATTAAGTAAAACACATAATTTTTTTGGTAAAATAACAAAGATTCGAGAACGTGAGGCAAGAAGAACAATACAAGGCAACTAATAACATATATGTATTACGAGGAAAACGTTGCTCGCCGACATTACATTATTATTATAATACTAATTGCATTTTAACAACGACTGAGTCCAAGAGTAGGTACCTACTGCGAAAATGTTCATTGATCATTTGATATAATATAGATTATTTTATATGTAGATTGATTAACGTGAGATGTGAGAAATATGTAAACACGCGAGATGCAGATAGTGCATGTCGCGATGTGTTGCAACCATCGATAACGCTGCAGGCGACACCCGCGCCCCTCGCCCCTCGCCCCTCGCCCCTCGCCCCTCGCCCCACTCGAGGTCGTACCTTCATCGTCACCTCCCGAGAGTCCTGAGACTCGACATTGTCAAACTTAGACTAGATTAGGAGCTCACAAAGTAAGTGACTCGGCAGAGGCTCGCGCCGCCTGCGATTGTTTCACTATAACGAGCCTCCTCTATAATTTTGAGCGATGTTAATATAATAAGCCTCTTATTTAATAAGGCCAAGAGCTCGTGCTCGAGACGTTCCTGAATTCAATATTTTTTGGTAAATGCGTTCGCATCCCAACAACCCACTGTATTAGATGACTCGATGTTATATCGCATTTGCAGAATTAAATTGCTTCCCTTCCGATTTCTCAAGTATAGCGCCCGAGAGGTTACCATGTAAGATCTGAATGAATTGTCAAAGAACGTTGCGCGACACGTGCCGTGCGCCGCGGCGATATGTCACGTATAGTCGACACGGAACATGCGCATTGCACCTTTGGTTTGTGGTCATTATGAAGAGGATTCAAAGTGTAGCTCCCAGCGGTTAGCGGGGCGGGGCGGGGCGGG